ATCATTATTTCTTTGCAAACCCCTTCATCTTCATAAACTTATTCTGTTACCCACAACGTCGGTCGCGTCCCTTCCCGTCGTTCTAGTAAGTAGATCTTAAAAGATAGACATATACTGCCGTTTTTTTAGATCATCGAAAAAAAACATTATTTTATACATATTTTTTTGGTAATTTAAATCGTTTGGCGGATCGTACGCAACGCATACCCACAGGGATGAAAAAAACTCCTAATTTCCCCACATTTCCCGCTAATACTTCGCTCCTATTAGCCACAACGCAATGCCTACAAACTTTCTTAATAAATATTTTAACCAGTTCAAAAATATTTTTTCAATTTTGATATTAGCGCGTTCAAACACTTCAGCTTTATATATTACTATAGAAAAGGTATATATTTCATTTCTTTACGAATCATCAAGAGTGAAAGGAATCTTGTAGAAACAATATTTCGGTCAGGTAGGGCACTAATATAAAAAATGAACTACTTGTTGTTAAATAAAAACTGTCTGTAAATAACGGTTAACACGCGAAATATATTAATTAAAGTCTTCTAAAAATAGTTTCAACTACGGCCTGACGATTCGAATACTTTGGTCACGGTGAGCCATCGGGAAGTATTCGAGGGCCGTAGTTAAAATAATTTTTAAATAAATTTAACTAATATAGATCGCGTTTTAAACCTTTAAAGTGTGAAAGAGAAACAGCTTTTTGTCTACATAAGGCATATGCGATATTAATTTCTCCCTCGCCTCGTCAATTCAAACACTAATTATGGACTTACACTAGCTTAGGTATGACATTGTTAATTGTCTTTTTAATTGTAAGTATTGTCTTACGAAACATTGCAGCTAGATTGAAATACTTGGAACAATTTTTCTCTAAAACTGGCTAGCTGCCATCCTTTTCTCTATAAAAGCTTTATATAAAAATACATTTTACATTGTTTAGTTATATAATGACACTTTGATTAAGATTTTCGAAACAAAACAACAAAGTTGTATAAATATTTCTATATACACATTCGTTGTTTTTGTAACATTTGTTGTGATTAGCGCGTGTGGATTCGCGTTGTTATAATTAAATTAAAACAATCTTGTTTGCTTGAAAGTGGAAATCTCGAAAACTATTATATTGAAAAATTATTATATATATTAAAAAAAAGTGATATTTATGTAGGCTATAAAATCATCGCGCTAAGAGGCCTATGTCGAACGACAAATTTTTACTATTAGGGAACAAAAAAGGCTTATTTTATATATTTATAGTAAAAGAACCTCTATATTTTAAAATATATTCCTTTAAGTAAAATTTGCATGGATTTTAGTAAATTTAATTTTAATAATGGAAAATATGACAGTCACTTAGAATTAGGCTTAACCAAAATAGCTGCAAACATGCAAAAAATCGATAACCCAAAGCTACAAAGCTCGGATTTATGTAAATAAAGTGAATGTAAGCCCCGGCTTATCTGGTCACAATGGTCCATTGTATTGTATCAGAACAAACTTCTGTAGTCTATGGCTACTTCTCGTTTCATCTTTATTTACAGTTGTAACAAATTGCTCTTGTTTCACTCGCTCTATGACCTGAAAAGTCTTCGAATCGGATTTAAGCACATAATACTAGCTGTGTCAGCGACTTCGTCCACGTAGAATAGTAATTTTAGGCTTCGAAATTTGTTTTGCAAACCTCCTGATTAACTCTAAATTTAAGCACACACGACGTTGTCCACGTCCCGTGATATACTGCCACAGATATTATTTTAGATTATTTAAAAAGGAATCATGATTTCATACATATTTTTTGGATATCTCGAACCAAAAATGCCAACTTGACAATTGACAATAGATATGGAAATTATATCTTTGACAATTTATATTTCTATGGTTAATTGTCAAAATGTAAAATGTGATTTTGACATTTTTGATGCTTGAATCAAGATTGAAGATATGTACTCAATTTCACCAATGCCTGATTTTCAATATGTCTCTAAACTTTATCTCTACCATGATAGGGCAAAATGCGGTAGACACGGACATCAACCAATTGGTTTCAAAGCCACGTTTAAAGTTTATCTTGAGAGGATGCCAACTTAGTAAGAGATATATTATACATATTAGAATATTTGTCGACATTTTAGGCTGTACATGTTTGATTTACCGTGTGTAATCAACATGCTTATAATCTATTATATAAATCCATAATTACTTAATGAATATTCTTTTTTAGATATTTTAAAATATTTAAGTTAAATTAGTATTTAATTTGAATAAAAAATGCTTTTAACTTAACCTAACCATTATTATTGTTATTCAATAAAACTTAGACGCGTTGCTTAGCAATGCATTAAGCACGAGAGGATCTAGGTTCGAGTTAAAAACAAAACGATAACTGTCAGGTAGGACACATAATTCTCATTAACCACTTGTCTGCGAATAAAGATCAGTAAAAGTACACAATTTTTCCACCTTATGTCCCAAACAGGGAAATTTGTCCAACTATGTTTACCCTTTTATCCCAGTTGGAAAAGTCCACCCATAATACTAATATGTAGATCTTCATTGATAAATTCCTCTTCTTTTGTCTGTCCTTTCTGTTTGATGATAGCAGCTAACGCAGGAGTTAGCAATAAAAAGTACGTAAACGTTGTTAATTTTAGTACTTTAAATTACTAAAACCTAAGAAAGCTGTCTTAGAAGAGAACTGTTTCGTCTTTCTTGCGCACGCTTTACTTAAAAAAAATCTTCTTTTGATTATTGAATTGGACGAGACTCGACCTCACTATCTCAGCGTACTACTAGGAATTGAGCTACCGTGTCGACATTGAAATCGACTATTGCAAAGAGAGACGTAATTAATATATTTACATATAGATATCCTTTTATACTTATATATATTTATAAAGTTAAAAGTTAATTACCATATGCCTTAGTAATTAAAACGACAGTTTATTTTTGGTTCAATTTTAATTTAGTTTATTGTCAATAAAAATTTATACGGTTTAAAACGCGAAACTTAAATACTGTCTATAGTTTACGCGAGGAGTACACATTTAAATGAAAGCAGCCGTCTCCCCGTGACCACGGCTACTGCAAAGCATCCGAAACGTCGGGCCGAAGTTAAAAATCATTTTCAAATAAGTTTAACTAATATACCGCGTTTTAAACCGTTAAAGTATTTTATTTAGACTGAATTTCACCTATGTTTCGACGTTTTCGATGATTTTCAGAAGCGGTGGTTATAGGGGAACATGCTTTGAAGATTTGCTAGTTTGCCTACATTTTCGATCGACATATCGAAGATCAAAATTTAATAGTTTCCATATACATAACTGTAATTTTTTTACGTGAGTACGTAAGTTACGTGAGTCAAGATCAACTAAAAGAGTGTCAAATCAGCATCCGTAACCAATGTTAAATCGAATCAGCATCTGTTACAGCGGAAGAGCATTTTTTATTCGAGCAATATTTTTGAATGGCAATCTTTAAATCGTTCCCGTTGAATAGCACAGTGAAGTTAGCGTCTTTGAGACGAGAACTGCTCTCAAATGGAATCCTGTGTCTTTCAGCGAACTCTTAGATTGTGCTATTTAAGCATTCAAGCAATTGTGTGAAGGTTACGCTTCGTATTCAATAGTAGTTTTTCAATAATATTTCTAAAGTGCTAAACGAGAATTTGTATAGTAAAATAGAATAAAAGCGAATAAAAAAAAAAGCTTTCTTATTTGCTTATATTATAAACATTTAACACAAGCTATTGAACAACACAAATGCAATGTGTAAACAGTTACATAGGTATTGCACAAAATATATATTACTAGCTGTGCCAGCGACTTTGTTCGCTAAGAATATTTATTTTGGGCATCGAAATTTGTTTTTGCAAACCCCCTTATGTTTAACATAAGCTGTTACTCACGCGGCCGCGTCCCTTTCCCATCGTACTTGCAAGTTAATCTTCAAAGATGAGATATAGTGTTCCGGACATTTTTTTAGATAATTTAAAGATAAATCATTCTTTCAACATATTTTTGGGGTATCTTGAACCTTTTTCGAAGCGTACGCATCGGAAACCCACAGAGATAAAAAAATTCCCCCGTTTTTTTTTTCACGTTTCCCACTGCTTCTTCGCTCCTATTTGTCACAGCACGTTTTATAGCCTATAGCTTTTCTTGATAAATGTTCTAACTAACACAAATGTAATTTTTCGATTCGAACCAATAATTTCTGAGATTAGCGCATTCAAACAAACAAACAAACTCTTCAGCTTTATATAAAAGTATAGATAAAGACACTAGATAGGACTCGAATCTACGACCACTTACCAACCGAAATATGTTAAAGTAACAACAAATTACTGTCTTTATGTCTATATTATATAGTTGAAATTTTAGGTTAGTTGCCTATTATATAATTTGTTCGATAGATTATTGTATTATAAACTTATGTTACATCTATGAAATGATATTATAAGAATGTAAACAGCACATTTATATAGAAGGTATGTTTAGCTGTAAGCTGCTTAAATGCTTGTCACTTATTAGTTATCAAAAGATTTTAATTTGCTTTATAAATGAAAATACTCTAGCCAGAATAACAATCACAAAATGATATTTAAACACTGTCTGTAGTTTACGCGAGTAATAGACATTTTAATAATACACTTTAACCGTTTAAAACGCGATATAGATTAGTTATCTACTGCCAAAAGTTTCGGATGCTATGCAGCAGACGTGGTCACGGTCTCCCCTAAAGATGGAAGGTGTCTCTGACGTCAAAGTAAAACGTCAAAGCTTCCGAAACGTCGGGCCTAGTAAATGGATTTAAATAAATTTTAATAATATATATTGCGTTTTAAACCGTTAAAATGTGTATTTAAAAAAATATACTTTACGATTGTGTACCTAATTGTTAATTCTTATTAAACACCAGCTCACACACCTTCTATTCTTAATAATAAAAAAGTAAGTGAAAAAGCGAAGCGCGGTGCATACCTAACTCACCATCGTGCATTGGATCGATGGTATGGATCATGAGCTGCAGCAGACCATGCCGGAACTTGGCGGCTGGCGGCGGTGCTTTGCTGGGCCCAGCTGTGGCCGCAGTCGCGGTGTTCGTGCCCACTGATGTCTCGCTGGATGTAGTTGCGTTGCCATGCTGCAGAAGAGAAGTAAAAGATTTGGATAGATTACTAAGCTCACTTTCTCTTGCAAGAACGATATTATTTTTATGACTGAAGAATATATAATTTGTCGACCTATTTTGGTTTTATAAATTTAGATAACCAAAGGCGATTGAAACGCGATAACTTCATGGCTGATTGTTGTTACACCCATTCAATATTCAGATTTTCCAGAAAAGTTATAAATTGTTTAGCAACATGTTGGATCCGGTAGATATCGAACCCGTGACTCGTTTATTATTAGCAACACATTTCTAGACCAACGAGTCTGTGTTTAGTTGTTATATGGTTTGGGTATTGCATGAAGTGAACCAGATGCTAGTCTGTTATATAAAAAAAAAATTAATAGCTAATTTGCTTGTCTATGCCCTTTATAATCTGTGGTTTCTTTGGTTTTGGTTCATCTGTGGTTTTCTTTTTAATCTGTGGTTTCGAGGTATAATTCTATTGTAACTTGAGAGCTGTAATGCGATAGGGTTATGGTAAACACTACCTAAGTCTTGCAAAAAAGTTTCTTAAAAACGAATAAAAATAGTTATATCTGTAATGTACAGTAGTAGATTATATAAAACAAATTTTAAACATTTACACACTGTTTATAACGCCAAATATGTTAGTTAAAATTGTTTACAATTTATTTTTAAGTATGGCCGACGTTTTGATTCCTTTGCAGAAGCCATGGTCACGGGAGACATAAACAAGTTTAACTCATATATTTCGCATTTTAAACCGGTAAAGTGTTTTGTTTAGACGTGTTCTACTCGCGTAAACTACTAACAGTGGTTAAATAGTCAGAAATTCAAACTACGAGATTTCGGTTAGTACGTGGGGTTTAAAATCTTTTATTTAAAATGTATTCGTTTAAATGGAAAGGTGTTTTCATAATTCACAATGAAACGCCTGCGTCGTTTTATTTTCTTCTATTTATTTAAAATCCAGGACAAGAACTAGAGCAGCACTCGAGCGAAATGTCAACTCTACAGTGTTGCCAGTGCAGAGGCGAAACTTTTCAAGTGGACGTCATTTTAGAGATCGGCACAATTATTTGTTCTTGTGTTATTAAATGTTTTGAGTTTTATTAAAACTAAAACTATGTAGGTATTATAGTGGTAGTTTGAGTATGCCTCGTCGGTGTAAAGGGAATAATGTATCGCCATTATATTAATAAAAAAAAAAATACGACACGACCTGAACCGGCATCCACATCGTTCCGTGCTGTTGTTCTAACCAATTGAGCTACCGTGTCCTACGTCTAGTTTTTTGTTCGCGCAATGTAATTTCAACCTTATTACAAAATTTGAATTCACATTACTGCCCGTGACCGTGTTTGTTTAATTTCTAATAGATTTTTAATGTATATAGTGCAATAACATGCGAAAAATATTTAAAGTTGTGAAATGTATCGCCACTAGACACTCAGATTGTCTATACAAAGTGTAATGAACTGCAGGTAAAATTTTGAATTGTTTATTAGATACATAACTGACCTAATAGGAATCGAATGACGACGATCCGTATTTTATTAGCCTAGTATTGCTACCCCAATCATTAAACCGAGCCCGGAGGAATACAAAACCACCGTACTGTGCTGAAAAACCCGTAAATTTCCTTTTAACAAACAAGGTTAATTCTTCCCTGTGCTCTATCATAAACGAATATCATAATGTTTTTATTTTAAGCATCGACGTAAGCAATCTAAAGAAATAAATCGATCGATATACAAATTTAAAGGAAGTGTTGAGGTTTTACATTGCGCGGGAGGTGTATGTATATAATATGTTGAAAAAATTCTGCTGCCGCAAAGCATCCGTAACGTCAGGCCGTTGTTAAAAATAATTTTCAAACAAGTTAAACTAAAATATATCGCGTTTTAAACCGTTAAAGTGTTTTATTTAAATGTGTACTACTCGCGTAAGCTACAGACATTGACTTGTAGCTGAATGGGTGAGATCCACAGCACGGATTGCTGTGCACGCCGGTTCAAGTCCTGACCGAGTCGTAATTTTTTTTATTTATAATTGATTTTTAATTTATATAGTGTCATCATGTGCAATAACGTGAAAAAAACTATTAAAATACCTCGCCCTATAAACCGTTTTAATTAAATTGTTGCGCTCAAAGATGTGTCAATGCTACGCAACCGTTCGTGCGAGTGTCCGACTCACACTTGGCCGTTTTACATCATTGCAGTCTATTTGCGTAAATGACATATTAAAAATATGTTTTCAAAGTAAGCAATGCTTCCAGTGCCTACCTGTTGTCAGGAGGAACAACAAATTCTTGGTTTTGTAAATGTCCGTTTAATTGCCACAATCCGCTGAAAATATCTGAAATTATTTAATGAAAAGCATCACTTGTATTCAAAGAGCTCACATGTATTAATTGGCCGTTCGACGAAGAGCAATCGTTTTGATACTCAACCAATAGCGCTGCGAAATTAATGAATTTTCGGGGCACACTTCAGTGGTAATAGTTCACGGTTCTTGCCGGTTTTACTTTGAAATTTAAGTCGTATCTATACTTGTATAAGGTCCAATTTAGATGAAAAGTCTGTTTTATATATGTGCCTTTTATTCATTACGTTGTCTGTAGTTCACATCTACTAGCGGCATCTGTTTTGTAATTATTGGTATTTGCAGGAACTAGCTAAACCTGGGTCTCATTTAATAAAAAAAAAATATAATGGAAAATATATTTTTCAACATATATTTAAATGAATATTATTACGTAAGCAATTAACGCAATTAACGCAACAAGAAATAATTTGTAATAAAGCATTGATTACGACCTAATTTTATTACTATAACAACGGTTCTTGCGAATTATCTCTAGACTAGTTTTTGTCTTTCCTTCCGCGATAAATGATCCAACACACATAATTTTCAATCCAATTAGAACCACTAGTTCCTGAAATAAGCTTCTGTATAATATAAATATACGTAGTTTTTGTTAATGTATACCATATTTTTATACGTATAGTGGTTAACTCACCGCGGTCTACAATTGCAGTGGCGCTTAAGAGATTATAATAATGTTATTACTAAGAGCTTATGGCTTAGGGCAAAGACTTATATTACAACAGTTCAGTGCAAACCGCAAAGGTATTAAGTACTAGTTTCAGTAACAAAGCTGCTGATCCCGATTAGCAGAATATTAAATATAGTAATATAAATTACTTAACAACAAAAAATATAAATTAACTAAAATACCTCGATTGATAAACGATTTCTTAATTTAAATAATGCCATAGTGTGCAATGACATGTGAAAAATATTAGACTTTAAACGTTAACTTAGTAATTTAGTCGTCAATGATTTTCTTCAAAGACATTGAACTTTAATATGCACACGTTAAGATTGAAAATACATTGCGCGAGAGGTTCAGTAAGTTGCAAAAATTCGACGATAACGTGTAGGACTCGGTAGCTCAATTGTTGGTTTAGAGGAACAGCACCATTCCGGCGTTCCTCTAACTGATGGATGGTTCAAGTCCTGCTCGTGTCGTAAATGTTTATTAATCTAAAATCGATGTTTTATTAATATACTGCCATCATGTGCAAAAACTTTAAAGTTATAATTTACCTCGCCTTATAAATCGTTGAAATTGTTTTAGTTTAATTGTTGTGCTGTCTGTAGTTTATGCGAGTGGTACACATTTAAATAAAACACTTTAACGGTTTGAAACGCGATATATATTAGTTACGGGGGGTCTCGCCGCGACCACGGCTGCTGCAAAGCATCCGAAACGTCGGGCCACAGTTAAAGTCAAATAAATTTAACTAATATATATCGCGTTTTAAACCGTTGAAGGTTTTTTATTAAAATAAATTTTTATGTTCAAAGTTGTGTCAACAGTAAGGAACCGTTCGTGCAAGTGTCCGACTCACACTTGGCCGTTTTACATCATTGCAGTCTATTCGCGTATATGTAAAGCTCGCTGGCACATTAAACGGCCTCTCCAATTACTGGCTTGTCAGTTTGAAAGCAATTACTCTGAATCCAATACGCACGTGATGATGGAACATTCGCTACAGTTACTGGATGTTTTTCATATTCAGATATACACATAATAAGGAAGGTAAAACGTACAGAGACATTATCCAGTCTCGGTTAATTAATATTGCAATAAGATCGATTCAATCCGTTTAAACGTGTTTATTTGTATTGCCGTGATACACTAGTGATAGAAGATTTACAATGTGTTACGAAATTGGGAATATGTTAATCAACACATAGTTTGTTCTGGTCTTAATTCAGAATGACTTGTAACACACAATCTATACTAATATATGAAGCTGAATAATTTGTTTGTTTGAACGCGCTATTTTCGGGAAATACTGGTTGGATAGGAAAATTTGGTGTTGGTTGGAACATTTATCGAAGGGAGCTATAGCTTATAGGCTATAAAACATCACGCTGCAACTAGTAAGGGCGAAGAAACAGCGAGAAATGTGGAAAAATGGGGAAAATTATTCATCCTTGGTTCTTTTTTGGGTTAACCCCAGAAGGGTTCGAGATACCCAGAAAAGAACCAAATATGTATAAATGTATGATTCCTTTTAAATAAAACACTTTAACGGTTTAAAACGCGATATATATTAGTTAAACTTATTTGAAATTTATTTTTAACTTCGGATCGACGTTTCGGATGCTTCGCAGCAGCCATGTGCAGTGGTCATGGGGAGACTGAAGGTATATTTTTAAAATAAGTTTAACTAATATACATCGCGTTAAGTGTTTTATTTAAATGTGTACTACTCGCGTAAACTACTGACAGTATTTAGAATGATTCCTATTTAAAACATGTAAAAAATGTCCGCTGATATTAATTTGTAACAACGCCGTGACACGGAGGACGTTGCGTAAATTTTGAGTTGAACAGGAGGGTTGCAAAAAAAAACATTAATTTAAAATATTTATCCTACGCGGACAAAGTCGCTGAGACAGCTTGTATTGTTATATTTTGTTAATATTAATTTGTATTGTATTTTTTTAAATTACAATTGAGCATGTTGATTTTAATTATTTATACTTACCAATAAGTTTTATTGATTACTGTGTGGTTGATAGCAGTAAATTTATTTATTTCTTGCTAAGACTACACTATAAAATTATTTGTGCAGTATTAAAGATAAATGACGTCAACAGATCCGCTTGACAAGTGTTAACAACAGCGGAAATAATCGTATTACTTGTGTAATGAAATAAAGAGATTGTGATACTTATGGCGTCACACAGAAAATTGGATTTCCAAGGGAGTCTGGACAGTAATTTAACATTTCATCTGAACGTGAAAAATTTCAGGAAGCTTAGTAGGCTTAATAGGGAGGCGTTATTATGACATTAATCAATATTAAAACGACAAAAATGCTTTAGATTTTCAGAAATCAGCTCTAACAAAAAAATCTACGATCTATACTAATATATAAAGCTGAAGAGTTTGTTTGTTTGGACGCGCTAATCTCAGAAACTACCGGTTCGAATTAATTTTTTCAGCAGTAGTAGTAGTATTAAATAAATATGTATATAAAAAAAATGCACTTAAAGTACCTGAAGACTGTTAAAATTAAACTTGGCGATAAAAGGAGTGACGACTAGTTTATTTTAGTCAACAATTTCTGGTATAATCTAAGTATGTATTTTGAAATAAATTGTAGAATCTTCATTACTTTAAAGCTAATGTTTATTTGTCATCCAAGAGATGGCAATGTGTAGATCAACAATTCTTCCCTGGTACGTACGATGATGGTACCAAAAAGTAGTCTACATAATACAGGAAAGTTAAGATATCATGTTTGCAATAACGAATTAAAATACGATTGAATAAGGCAGCTAATCGAATCATACACAATTTCTTTATAATTTATTTAAAACAAAATATGTCATTAAGCTATATATCTAAAAAAGATTTTTAATAATAAGTTGCTTACTTATTCCAGTAACGTCCAAATTTTGTTTATCCAGAATACGGTGTCAAGTCAAGCTTACAATGCTTTAGGCGGGAAACGCCACCGCCGTATATCTACCACAGATAATTAATCTTTATTTTATACGAGTCTGTAACTGACATTGACAGTTACCGCATACAGAATCGTTTTTATTTCTTTGATTCAATTTACTATAGCAATATATTTTTTTACTCTTATATTTCCTGTATATTATCCATAATGTGGATGTAAACATGTTTGAGATTGGATTTAAACTTAAATTTTATTATTTACTTTTTATTAGAGTTTTGACTGGCTGCTTGGTGTAATAGTAGCAATGTAGGTAGAAAAATGGTTGGACTTCGTCTGCAAAAGCCGTGAAGTTTTATCGCGTTTTGGTTTCAAAGTGTGGATTTTCAGAATATCCAAACCCAAAAGTCGACAGAGCACCTCGTTTAGATTTTATGTAGCTGGGTATTTCATCTACACATATCATTCGAAATATAGTATAAGGAATTTGAAAAAGACTAGACATTTTCAACAACGGAGTTTATAAATTCAAGTTAATATTTTATAAAAGTTTTTTAAGCTTTTTAATTGTATTTAAAACCGCGAGATGTGCATGTTAATGCTTTTAACAATTGCATTTGTTTTTTTTTTTTTTTTGTCTCTCACCTCTCTCACAGCGCGATGTTTTTAAAAAACTATAGCCTACCTCGATGAATGCTCTAACCAACAGAATTTGAACTAGTGGTTCCTGAGATTAGCGTGTTTGCTATTTTTTGTTTTATATCACTTGTACACGCTGTGGGTACTTACTTGAATTGTCGACATAATTTATTTGCGTAGTTTACGTCTTTGTGTTGTAAGTAGTATTAAATAAATACGGACGAGTTAAACACGCCCGCAGTTTGTTTATAATTTTAGAGCGATTAAATAATTAGTGGGCACAATTAGCTCGTTATTTTTACAAGCGCCGTGACGTCACGAGTGAGCGTTGCATAAAATTGCTCACTTCGTTCACGGCCGCCGGTTCCGCTCAAATATATTTTCCCCGGCGAAATTGTTTCCTATGTTTTGTTCTACATTTATGGAACAATTTAAACGAATACTGCAAATGCCGGTGGGAAATGACCATTCTTTTACCGACTGTTAAAAGGGGATTATTTTTAAACAGAGCATTAGTGCTTTGACTGTGAATACATGAATGTAGTGTTTTATTTAACGGTTTCATACACGATTTAAAATACATGAAAGTAGTGTTTTATTTAACGGTTTCATACG